CATCTGGACTTGGGAGGGTCTAGCCCATACACTGTGCAGATGTTCCTGTACACAATGCCAGCTACTTGGTTTTGCCATCCACTGTTCCTGCCTGCATCTTACACCCTGCCATTATGTGTTGGATTATCTCTGAGGCCTCCCTGCACAGTTTGCACCTTGGATCCTGTCTAGTGTGGCAGACCCCTGCTTCTATGGATCTGGTGCTTAGTGCCTGTTCTTGTGCTGCTATGAACAGTGCCTCAGTGCTGTTTTTTAGTCCAGCTCTTTCCAGCCACTGGTAGGATTTCCTAATGTTAGCCACCTACTAGCTATCTGTCGATGGTACATCTCATGCAGGGTCTTGTCTTGCCGTAGCACTTCCTCCCATGTCTGCTGCAGCCTTAGATATTCTCTCAACAGCTCATCTTCAGGTGCCATCTTACTGATGTACTCCTGGATGCTCTGTGTTTCATTCAGGACACTCCCCAGATCCCTCCCACCCTCTTTCCAGCTGGTGTACAGTCTCTGGGTGTTAGAATTGGGTTGGAAACCTCCTACATTGTGAGGAGCTTCTGTGTCTTCACATCAGCAGCCTCCATTTGGCCAGCTTCTGTGTCTTCACATCAGCAACCTTTGGCCAGCTCACTTTACTGGCAGGGTAACTGATGACTGGCAGGGTGTACGTGTTGATGGTGTGGATCTTGTTCTTCCCATTGATCTGGCTCTTCGGGACCTGGCTTATCCTTTGGTGGTACTTGGATGTTGCTGCCTTCCTTGCCTCCTCATTGTGGTTCACATGTGACTGTGGGATACCAAGGTACTTGTAGCTGGTCTATATGACTCTATGTGGACCGCTGGTAGTTCCACCCCATCAGTGTTAACTACCTTCCCTCTCTTTACTACCATCCGGCCACATTTCTCCTGTCCAAATGACATCCCAATATCCTCACTGTAGATCCATGTCAGGTGGATCAGTGAATCGATGTCTCGTTCACTCTTAGCATACAGCTTGATGTCATCCATCTAGAGGACATGGCTGATGGTAGTTCCACTCTTGAACTTGTATCCATATCCAGTCCTTGTGATTATCCGGCTGAGGGCATTCAAGCCTATACAGAACAGCAGCGGGGAAAGTGCATCACCTTGGTATATGCTGCACTTGATGGCTACTTGTGTGAGCTGTCTTGAGTTGACTTCCAGTGTTGTCTTCCACAGTCCCCACCTGAGTTCTTGAGGAAGGTCTTTAATGTCCCGCTTACTTTGTATAGCACCAGACATTCACAGATCAATGTATGTGGCACTGAGTCATAGGCCTTCCTGTAGTCAATCCAGGCTGTGCTCAGATTGGTCTGTCTAGACCTTGAGTCTTGGGTGACTGCTCTATCTATGAGCAACTGGTTTTTTGAGCCTCTAGTGTTGTTCCCAATGCCCTTCTGAGCTGTGCTCACATATTGGCCCATATGGTCCTATAGCTTGGTGGGTATGATGGTTGATAGGACTTCCCATGTTGTGAGGAGGCAAGTTATTGGCTGGTAGTTGGATGGTGTTGTTCCCTTGTGGGGGTCTTTCATGATCAGCACTGTCATTCCTTGTGTTAGCCATTCTGGGTGGGAGCCTGCTGCTAGCACCTGGTTCATCTGTGCTGCTAGGTGTTCATGCTCTGCTGTCAGTTTCTTTAGCCAGTAGGTGTGGATCATGTCCAGGCCAGGTGCCATCCAGCTCTTCATGTTCTTGACCCGCTGTTAGATGTCTGCTACTTTGATGGTGGCTGGTTCCTGTTCTGGGAGATTCCTGTGGTCTGCTCTCAGGTCCTGCAGCCACTTTGCATTGTTGTTATGTGTCCTCTCTTTCTTCCATATGCTCTTCCACTACTGTTCATTTTCTGCTGTTGGTGGCTTTGCTATTATTACTGTGTTGTTGCATTGCAGTTGGGAGTACACCTTGGATGGTTCTTTGGAGAACAGGGCATTT